AAATTTGTGTCATTTGTCTTTGCATCTCCTGGACCTTTACCTTTGCGTTTGGCTCTGCCTTAAAACTGTCGTCCCCCAATTGCGTTCCTGCACGTTGCTTCTGGTGGTATGATGGTGGTTGTTTTTCTTCCAATGCCTCCCAATCTGCAATGAACCGTACACGTAGTTCCAAAACGGCATGTGGAAAAGCCGCATCTCTTGGCATAGCGAAACTCATCGTGGAAGGGCGCGGGCCTCCCAATTCATGGATGTATTTGGCTCCATTTTTACCATCAGTATGCCGTTTTCGAGTGTAAACAAATTATCCATGTGATAACCTAAATGCAGAGCTTCCTCTGGATGAAATTCAAATGCAAAAGCCGTAGAGCCGTCATGGGCCACAAAAACTGCGAACGCCTGCGTACTGGTCAACCGCGCTTTTCTGAAGTAGGACAGACGGATCATACTTATCATTTTCATTATTTATAAGCTTAATTTTTTTCAGAAAAATACGTTTGAGAGAGTGTGAAGATGAAAAAGAATAATCATGTTGCAGAAGTTTAAGTCTATACACCATTTGATTCCTATTAACGTAATACTCGATCATTCTTTTCACAAACTATCAAAAACTGCCCTGATGAGGTAGGAATGGTGTATTTCACAGCACCCCTTAAGTATGCGAATGCCATCCATGGAACAAATATCCCAATCCCATGTCCCCCTCCCTTTGTTTCCCGAATGCCCAGGAGACCCGCTCGTAGACGACCATCTCGGTTACCACTAGCACAGCCGCTTTCCAACACAAGGTGACCCATTACCTTTGTTCCCAAATGCGGCCGTCAATATATGGGTAAGTCAGGCCTAACTCTGCGCCGAATGTCAAGACACGGGCATCACCCTACTCGCGCGCACACCAGCCAGCGTGACGAATGCGAAGAAACAGCTCTGCATCTCTTGAGTTACCCCGCTCTTCATCCACTGCGAGTTCAATTTGCGATAGGTGATGTACCCCTGATGAAACTATGTTTTTCTAAGCGGTTAGCAAAATTCTTTATTGCGGTGGAGCGGAACTACGCTATGCCGCAGTTTTCACACCCAACAAACCCTTCGCAGCTTACCTCCCCACCCCTCTAAAATAAGCGACGAGCAAGACCAAGCAAACCCTGATAGAAGAGTAAGCTCAAGGCGCCTGCCGCCGACCAAACAAGCAACAAAATAAATAGGAGTTCATTGAGGCCAATCTTTCACAAAAAAAAATAATAATAACAAAAAATAATAACAAAAGGAGACTGGAGGACGGGATCTGGGTAAGAAAAGTGGGAGTAGAGAGATCCGGTGGAGTTTACTCTATCGGATTTCTCGCAGACTGGTTCTCTCGTATGGGAACGGGCTGCAACAAAAATCATATTACAAGAGCTTGGGGATCCTATAAAATGAAGGTATCTTCCTCTTCGGAGCCGCCCGCAAATCGGCAATTAGGCGCCCCACGGCGGGCGTCCGACCGCCGCGCCATTTTGGCAACGCCCATAAAGACGCGAATAAGAAAAAAAAATTGCCTTTCTCAAAATTTCTGCTTTCCATTTCTCTGAAGGTGGGCGGTTTGAAGCGGCCAGCTCATAGGTCTAGGGTTGGGTTTCGTTGGTTGTTGGGCGTTTTGGGGACAATCTGCGCCCGAGCCTTTGCCACTTGCTCGCGTGCATTTCTCTTCAAGCTGCGCGCCTTTCTGATTAACCGGCAGTTGCAAATGTGCAAACGGGTGCTGGCTTCTTGGAACCCTGCAATTGCATTTTGCTTTGCCCGAGAACTTCAACCAGCCAGCTGGGCATTGACCGATCCGTGGGAATAATGCAATATCGATTCTCTTTCTCGTAATGCACCGCCCGTTCCGTAAGTACAGGCAAATGCACACCCTTGAAGGTCATGAGAAACCATGTGGCCATCGGGATTTGGAAAACAAAAATTTGGGATCGCGCGTGGAAGCAATATTGGCCTTGCCGAATTATCAAGGCGACCCTTGGGTTTCGAGACGTAAAGCGCCCAAATGCCATTCGCATGGCAAGTCGCTTCCGAACTCTGGACCGGGTGAAATCGAAAGCAAACGCTCCCAGAACGCCCGCTGAAGAAAATCGGAGGGTAACCTTATGCTTCTCGCCCGCTTCAATTCCTACAACGCCGAACTCCGAAGCGTGAAGAACGTTCCAAGCTTAAGGGCGCACCGTTGCCCTTATATGATAAAAAAAAAATGACCCGAGGATCTGCCCAGTACCCCCGGGCGCTTCTCGGGAGGCAGCCTCTCCTTTTAGAGTTGGCGCGCGAAACTCAAAAAAGAATAAAGGTGGCCAAAATCGGACGCCAAAACAAAAAAAGGAGGAAACGCATACCCACACCCAACCGGAACAACCCGAAGAAACCGGGCAAACGCATTATCCAAGAAAACCGCCGCATGCGCCGAAGAAAGCCTCGGCCCCACCGAGACGCCCGCAGAAGGAAAAGGATTTCCCCACGCGTCTGGGGCAGCAAAAAAAAAAAAAAAATGGTGACCCTCGTTTTTCTCATACAAAAAGGAATAGCAAAAGTAAAAGGAAATTAATGTTGGTGTATTTTATTTCCCCACTTATCGCCCGTCAAAGGGGAAAATGACGACAAAATAAAACCGCGATGGTTCCCAAAGGCCGCCTGTTCTCTAAAAACATTTTTCTTGCTTACCCTAATAAAAATAAATAATAACAAAAGTGACGACC